TGATCGACAAGGCTAGTAAGCAGGGGCCACATTTGGCTTGATAGCAGCTTGGCCGGCTTGTTGCCATCTCTGTTCTATCTTCTTCTTCTCTCTATCGCGCCTTGTTGTGTAAAGCTAAAACAGGACTATCGCATCTGGATGACCAGCACTCTCTCTTCTTCTTTTCTAAAACTACGATGTGCATGGCTGACTCTCCTACATGTATTCTGAAAAGTACTTTGCAAACCCATGATGTAAGGTACCTGCACTAGACCGCGCATATAAAGTCTGGGCCTCTGGCCTTCTTTGATTCCGTAATAAACTTCTTCCTCTTTGTCTTAAAACTTCAAGGATAACATCACGTGGCCAGTACTCTCCGCTCTGCTTCTAGAAAAAGTAAATTATGACAAATATCATGACTAGAGAACCCCTTCTTCTTTCCTCAAAAACATCGCTCACATTCAAATGAACAAGCTTCTTCTCTTTCTCGAACACCGTGGTCACAGTCATGATGACTTGGCCGCTCTTATCTCTCTTCCTTTCTCGAAAATTGGGAGACAATGGTGGATGGCTGGCTGACAATCTCTTTTTGATACAAATTACCATCTGTGGACACGATAGCTGGCTCTCCTTAGTTCTCAAAGATGTCAAAGTCAGCATTATTGTCGGCCATAGGGCTTATCCCTTGGCTCCTCCTTAGGCAACCAGGCAGCCACCCATTTACCCGCTAGTACCTTTACGGCCTAGCTCCTTCACTCCCTCTTCCCACTGCGTATATAGACCTCTTTCCGAAACAGCTCTATTACAACATGATTCTCCCCAACCTTGACGCTTGACAATTATGACTAGCTCTCCTTCTTTTCACAAGGCGACAGTCACATGTTCAATGATCTGCCTCTCTTCTCTTCCTTCAAAATCATCCACTATTATCATCTATGAGACACATAGTCTGTTCTCTTCTCCTCTCTTTTCCAAAATGTCATACGATCTCAGCATGACTCGCTGTCGTTCTCTTTCTGCTAGCGCTGTAGAGAGAAACTACTATAAATACCTTCTCCAGTCCTCCACTTCACTCTCCTCCTCCCTACTATCTTCCTGTAAAATCTAAATGATTGAAGAACCAAAAATCTCAACGACCTGAAAGATGACCTGGTCGCTCTCTTCTTTCCTAAAACATCATGTATCCCCCGATGACCAGCGTTCTTCTCTCCTCTTTTCGTCACCCTAAAATACCAGAGGAGCAAATAAGACCACATTCGAAGCGATAGCTTCTCTTCTCTTTTTAAACCCGATATTTTCCTGGTACAGCCAGCTTCCCCCCTCTTTTTTCTAATAGCTTTGATCGAAACACCCATGAGCAGACCGCCTTCTTTTCGAAAAATTCCAAAGGATCCCTTATATAGCCAGCACTCTTCTCTCCTCTTTACCTTAAAACACCAAGGGACCAAACGACCCTACCAACATGTCCATGACCCACCCTCCTCTCTGTCCTCTAAAATTGACCTACCGCATTGTCATGACGGACGAACAGGCCCTTCCTCTCTCCTCTTTTTTCTTATTTCTAAAATCAGGAGCTCACAAATTTGATGGGGCAGCCCTCCGCCTTCTCATTTTCCTCAAACAAGACATTAGGGGAGAGGACCATAACCAACCAGTCCGTTCCGCTGTTCTCTAAAATGAAGAACTTCACAATTGATGAACCAACCCTCTGCCTTCTTTTTTCCTAAAATCAACCGACGATCCGATCATGATCATCCGACATCTTTCTCTCTCTCTTACTACTTTTCACTCTTCTATAAAACAACGTCTCGCTGCTTTTCATCGGCGAGACCTCCTCTTCCTCTCCCTCCTCTCTATAACCAAAAAGCTGGAATCTGACCGGCATGACATGCTCTTCCTCTCCTTCTCTTCTCTTCTCCTCAAAAAGCACAATGACAGGTATTACACGGCTACCTCTCCTTCTTCTCCTGTTCTCTAAAAAAATTCAGAGAACGGTGTTCCACTCTTATTTTCCCTTATTTATAAAAACGAACGACAAAGATTTAATGGCCACCTCTCTCCTTCTCCCTCTCCTTCTCCCTCTCCTTCTCTCTGGAAAACACAATGCAAATTGTATCATGACCACTTCGCTTCTTCTCCTCTCTTTCTAAAATTGTTAAAAGAAAACCGATGACCTGCTCCACTTCTCCTACTGACCTAAAACATGTGTACAAGGACGGAATGGCCAGCCAGCTTCTCCTCTCCCACCTTTACCCCGAAACAAACTGGACGTCAGAAAACTTATAAAGCAGCCCTCTGCCTTATTCTCTTTCCCCTCTCTCTAAAACAGGCAATCAAAAACGGCATGGCTGACTCCGCTTCTCCCGCTCTTCTAAATTCTATCTACAACAACGCCATGGCCAGCAGCTCCTTCTCTTCTTCTCCTTCTTCCTTCAAAACATCAAAAGCTATTCATCGATGAACTGGCCCTCCGACTCCATCTCTTTCTCTCTTTAAAAGACTCAAAGAGCAGCACGATGACCAGCTCTGTTTCTCACACTTTTCTAAACCGGGCACGAAGCATGTCATGGCCGGCCAGTTCCTCCTCTTTCTTTCCTCTGTGCTCCAAAATGATGTAATCTATCAACCAATGGACCGGCCCTCTGCCTCTTTCTCTTCAAAACGTGTTGCGAGAGCTTGATGACTGCTTCTGTTTCCTCAATTTTCTCTGTCCTTTCGAAATAAACAAGGATATGGTTTATGGTCCAGCCCTCTGCTTCCTCCTCTCTCTCCTCTTTGCTCTAAAACTCATAACTTCAAGTTCCCATGGACCAGGCCTCCGGCTCCTACTATTTAAACCTGCGACATGATCCCGATAGCTCTGTTCTATTTCCTCTATTCTTCTAAAATATACAATCACGCGGTCTATGGTCCGGCCCTCCGCTCTTTCCACTTTCTCTGCCTTTCTAAATACAACAGGGCCACGATGGCTGTCCCTCTTTCTACTCCTTTCTGAAAACGCAATGAATAAAACCATGATGACTGTCCCTCTTTCCGCCTTTCCCTAAAAAAAAATGATGCCCACAAACGTTATAGCTGCCTCTCTTCCCGCCTTTTCTCTAAAATAATGAAGTACGTGGGTTATGGTCTAACCCTCTGCTTTCTTCTCTTTCTAATCCTGCTCCTAAGAACACAACTACCAAAATGCTATGGCCGTCTCTCTTTCCTCCTTTTTAAAATGTCCACCACAGAGTACCCATAACTGTCTCGTTCACCCTCATTTAGATACAAAGACAGAGTATCCATGACTGTCTCTTTCTCCCTTATTTAAATACAAATCACGAGTATCGATGACTACCTCTCTTTCCTCCTTTTCTAAAAATCCAAGCTCTGACACTTCATGGCCGTCTCTCTCTCTCTCCTCTTTTTCTAGAAAGTTATACCCTCATACTTTATCACTGCCTCTTTTCCGCTTTTCTTAAAACACAAAGCTAAGAACTTATGGTCTAGTCTTCCTCCTGCCTCTAAAACATAGCTGCACCATCTGATGGCTGTCTCTCTCTCCGCCTTCCTTGAAAGAAAATAGCGCCCCAGACGTCATGACTGCCTCTCTTTTTCCCTTTTCTCAAAAAACAAATCGAAGAATACATGGTCCCCTCCTCTGCCTTTTCTAAAACTCACATTATCAGATATCATGGCTGTCTCTCTCTCCTCCTTTTCTAGAAATCCAAGCTTTGACACTTCATGACTCTCTCTCCTCCTTCTCTAAAAACCCACCCCCCTAGATTCATGACTGTCTCTGCTTCCACTTTTTCTCAAAAACAAAATAAACACTATGGATCAGCCCTCTTCGTCCTCCTCTTACTTGAATCTTCTACAACGGACGTTAAATGACCTTCCTTCTACCCCTTACGTATCTACCTTTTCTGTAAATAGCCTCGAAAAATACGAAAACAAAAACAAGTATGCATAGTGTCGGCATACACACGGTGTGTCGCCTAATAAGGCCCAATGTACCGCCTCGATCCTACTTCGGCCCAACTCGGACCCAACGCTATGTATACCTTCGTAGCCCCCACATTCGTAGAATCATCATACACCAGAATACCAATACACAAGATTACCTTAGCTACTGTTATTCACCGTACGATCGTACAAGGCCTTCCAACACATAGAGAAATTTTATGTGTGCTGCGTCTGCCTGTGTGTGAAAGTGAATGTTACGTGCTGAAGAATACATGGTGTGTTTTTTGTGTATGTATATGGAGGGGGTATGTTACGTGTTGGAAACTACACGGTGAGGATATGTTGGTGTATGTGGAAGTGGATATGACACACGTTGGAGAATACATAGTAAATTCTGCCTACGATAGGGAGTAGACATATCCCACCTGGGAGGATACATGGTATGTTTTCAGTCACCATCACCTACCCTTCACACACCCCTACTTCGCCATGCTATCCAGATAAGCCTCCCAACCACCCTCAAGCAGTACCCCGTCCTTCCTCATCACCTCCATCTCGTTGCCCTCCATCCAAAGTCTCAACCTGTCTCTAACCGCCAAGTCTGTCATGCCTAGCATCCTCACCGCCAACAACGCCGCATTCGTCGAGTTGTTGATACCGACAGTAGCAACAGGCTCACCCCTAGGCATTTGCGTCATAGACAGTAGACTATCCATGCCATCCAAGTGGGTAGCTTTGACGGGTAGTCCGATGACCGGCAGTGTAGTCCACGAGGCGCACATGCCGGGTAGATGGGCTGCACCACCCGCTGCGCCGATGATCACTTGGACAGACGTGGATTCGGCGGACTTTGAAAACTCGCGCAGCCAGTCGGGCGTGCGATGGGCGCTAGTAATGCGTGTGGTGAAGGGGATTTCGAGCTTTTTCAAAATCTCGAGACCGGGGCGGAGGACGGGGAGATCGGAGTCAGAACCCATGATGACGGCGACAACGGGCTCAGGCTTGGAAGGTACAGAGATAGATGGCGAAACGGTCTTGCCTTTTTGTGCGTCGACAAAGTCAATGAGGGGTTGGACTTCGCGTTCCGCGGCTGCGAGGGTGGGCGCCTTGATGGTGATGTGGCCCATTTTGCGACCGGGACGGGCATCGCCTTTGCCGTAGAGATGAACTCTTGCATTGCCAGATTCTAAGGCCTTTCTTGCTACCAGCTTATGAGAATCTGGGGTTTTACCGCCGAGAATGTTGAGCATGATAGCAGGTTCGCAGAGACGGAGGTTTTCTTGCGAAATGGGGAGGTCGAGAATGGCTCGTAGATGTGCTTCATATTGTGAGATGGGGCAAGCTTCAATCGTGTAGTGACCCGAGTTGTGTGGGCGAGGTGCAATCTCGTTGATGAGCAGGCTGTCATCTTTGAGCAGGAACATCTCTACGCCGAACACACCCTTGCCTTCGAAAGCCCCAATGGCCTTCTTCGCAAGTTCTTGAGCGCGCTTTGCAGTCTTCTTCGATACATTTCGTGGAGGTGCATAAGTGAGTTTGCAGATGCTGTCCTCGTGCACTGTCTCGACCGTGGGGAATGTGAGTACGCCATCCTTCGTCTTGACGACCATGACTGCAAGCTCCATCTTGAAGTCTGCCCAGCGTTCCGCGTACAAAGGTCGCTTACCGAGCGCCTCAAATGCTGCACCGACATCTGACTCACTTTTGACCACAAAGTTGCCCTTGCCGTCATAGGCCTCTGTCTTACTCTTGAGCATGAACGGATAGCCGTACGATGAGCCCACTTCTTTTAGTCCCTCAACGCCCTTGCCTTCAAGATCAATGCTGTCTGCGACGGCAACTCCATGTTGTTTCAGATGTTGCTTCTGAGCGTACTTGTCTTTGATAATCCGTAGTGTCTTCCAACTCGGCTCAACGACCACCTGTCCAGCCACCTCTTCGAGCATGTGTGTGTCTACGTGCTCGATCTCGACGGTGACGACATCAGAAGATTCCGCGAGTTTCTTCACAGCGGCTGCGTCTTTGAAAGATCCGTCGATATGTCCGTCGTGTGCCGATATCTGCTTTGCTGGTGACCTTGCTGCGTCCAGGACATTGACTTGAATTTCAAGTCGGTTTGCGGCCTCGATCAGCATGCGGCCGAGCTGGCCACCGCCCAGTACACCTACCTTTCGGCTGTCGACCATTTTTTTTGACTGCGTTGTTCGTTGTTGTAGTAAGTTAGTCAAGTAATGGTGGATGGACTGAGTAGTGGCTGAGTTAGGTTACGTGGGTAAGAGTCACTAGCGCCGTAGTCGATTGGATGTGGGGGAAGGGTCGGCAGAAAAATTAGCACGGTGCACGCGAAAACTTCGTCGTTGAGCGTGCTCGCGATTTCCTGTTGCAGGGTTGGTTGAGGCGTTCAATCTCGGATCAGGGTTGAGTTGTAGCTGTACTCGTTTGTATTTTTTTCGTTTAAGAGCGGAAGTCTTCGGTCGCCTGTGGGAGAGTACCATGGTACTCGAGGGCACAATAATACTGAATGTTCCTGTTGCAGGCAAAATACCCTGCGCCTGTCATTATAGCAGTCACGAAGCTCTCACATGCAGAATACATAGGTAGTTCATGGGTAAACATGAGCTCGGAGAGCCCATTGTATGCTTCAATTTCATGTTGAGCATTGAGTATCTTTTTGCAGGCCTTCGAAAAGCCCTTGCCAGTCATGATGCGCGCCTCATAAGTGAATTCCCATGACCATGACCACGCCAACCCAGAGAAACCATATCGCTTCCAGCACACGCTTAGACCTTGAAACCACGCGACCTTCTGCGTCCACGGGCACGCTCGAACTTGCGGCCCTTGCTCTCGACATAAGGCTTCTTGTGGGAGTGGGGACCGAAACCAAAGTGCTTGAAGGCCTCACGGGAGTTCTTGGGTCCACGGAGGAGGAGGGTGTTGGATCCGGTGGGGAAACGGGTGGCAACCTCATCGATGGTGAGGCACTCACCACCAGCCTTCTCGACGCGAGCGCGGGCAGAGGCGGTGAAGCGGAGAGCCGCAATGGAGAGCTTGGGGACCTCAAGCATGCGGTTGTCGTCAGTGACGGTGCCGACCTGTATTCATTAGCCGGTTTTCTGAAGCGGTATGTTCGGGTGTTGTACAATGACGATGGTCTTGCCCTCGTGGGTCTTCGCGGAGTGCTTGTTGGCAGCGGTCGCGACGATCTTGGAGAGGGAGACGGCTAGACTATGTTAGTTCACATGTTCGAAGGCTTCGTGCAGTCGGCAATCTTACGGGGACGGCTGTAAAATGTTAGTTCATCTGTTCGCAGCTCCGTCTGATGGGTGTCTTACTTGGTCTTGGACATCATGAGACGTCGGAGAACCGTCTTGTTGAAGGGGGCATCGGTACGGCCTGGAAGCAGTTAGCACAAACAATGCGCGCGATTCCAACGGGGGTACTTACGAGCCAGGAACTTGTAAAGACGCACCAACAACTTGACGTAGGGGTTGGTGGACTTTGGGACCTCTGTATACTCGTCAATCTCTATCCTCTCGAGGGCTCATGTTGCGTCTAAAAGACAGCTGTCGCCAGCGCATTGCTGCGCCGACTCGACGGGGGTTCACATACTGCGGTGCCCGTCTCGAACATGGTGGCGGTCGAGGTCAATTCCCATCTTGACTGATTTTGAGCGTGTTGTGCTGTGGGTTAGTGACGACTTGGAGTTGAAGTTCGCAACTCGCGGAAGGAATTCTGGACATGGCAGCTTGGCGTGCGTGGTCTGTGCGAAGCGAGCAGAGTGCATCTCCACCAAGCCGCCTCACTAGCCAAGACAGGCACGCGCGCATCCAATCCGCCTCATCATGCAGACTGAGACTTTCTATCTGATGTGTTTCGTCTCGCAACTGAACTATATGCACGACCACGGTTGAAGCAGATTGATTAATGCTCGCGTACTGAACGATGTTCGGATCGTGGTTTGTATTGTGGCAAGCCTGATGACCATTGTTTGATCTAAATAACTCTGCACTACCTAAACTACAAATCACAAACCACCAACGTAGATGCTTCACAAGCATTACCATTATGTAGCTAGATGTATATGTCTTTTGCTCGCAGTCTTCGTGAATGTCTGCAAGATCTACTTATGACAGAAAGTGTGTTACTTAATCATTCCCCATCATTGCCTCTGACATGCTGTTGAACCTACTGCATCCCAAAACCCAAAACTGTGGAAGCTTGTCCACTCGGCGTAGAAATTTCGCCCGTCTATACTTATAAACACCGGTTACCGTACACTCCAAGTACACTACAAGCAGGGATAAAAAGACAAAGAAGAAGAGCAAAATGCAAAAGGGGAGCCCAGGGTCCGGCAGAGGGCTTGATCTAAGCTCAAAGGTAGTGGTAGCCTGTCTGGGACCAGTGGGTTCTCTATACAGCCTTGTCACCGATGAGCTTGCCGATACCGTTGTAGACCTGGTTGGTCGAGTCGGGGGCGTAGCGAGGTCCAAGAGAGCCAAGAATGAAGAAGACGGAGATGACCACAGCAGTGAAGATCATCAACTTGCGGAGGACTGGCCTGGTGTGGCCAAGCTCTTGCCACTTCATACTGCCCTGGCCGAGGTACTCCTTCAGCTTCTCGCCGCCAAGCTTGTAGTAGACAAGACCTCCGAGCGCAATGGCGTAACCAAAAGCCTGGAGGGGTGTGACGGGGTCCTTGAATAAGAACATGGATGCGAAAACGAGGAGAATATCCTTGAGTACACCGGAGAGGGTAAGTACGAGCGAAGAGGTCTTGCCGATCTGCAAACTTGTTAGCTGGTGCGGATCGAGTCAAGGCGATGCAAACGTACCAAGAATACGACCGAGACATTGAGCAGGAACGCAACGGAGGCGTTGGCGAAAAGGGTGAACAGACCAACGCGGTCCACGTCAGCCATGGTCATCTTGGGTAGCTCGGTGAAAAGCAAAATGACACCGTTGATGACGGCGCACGCGGGGGCGTAGTAGTAGAGCGAGACGAGCGGGTCCATCTTGAAGTCAGCTCCGCTAAGCAGGCGCTGAACCATGACCAGACGAATAGCCTCGAAGACGATACCAGCGCACTGGAAGAGGAAACCGATCATAACAAATTGGATTTCACCCATGGATGCGATGACGACACCGATGACGATGAAGGAGACGTTTCCGAGTGTCTTCAAGTTGACAGGCGCAACACCGAGACCCCAGGTGGTAAGGAGGACAGCGACTGGCATGGTGGCCTGGAAAAAGTCAGCAATCGTTCCAGCATCCTGCTCCTCATTCCACGTACCTTGAGCATCTGGATAAAGGCAACACTGAGGTAGAGATATGCCTGGTTACCGCAGATCAAGCTCATACTGAAGAAGATACCAATGGGGACGATGGCTCGCAGGTATACACGCCCGGTCATGGGCACCTTCTTTCTTGAGTCGAGGATGGTGGTGAAGCGGGCGAGGAATTGCGTCATAACGGTGGCGAAGACCAAATGCCATGTTGTAAGGAAGATGGGGTAGTCTGTTGCTGCTGTTAGTGAGGTCTTTGCGAGGGAGTAGAGCTCACGTACGGAACTTGGCCGTGTCAAGGATGTATTTGTTGAAGACAATGGTGCTGGAACTGAGGGTGATCCATGTGCTATGAGACGATTAGCAACTGCAGGGCCTCGTATGGTGGGTCTGACACATACGCAATGTATACAGCAGGATGGAAAGAGGGCGGTTCAGGCGCCGACTTTTGCGCATCGGGGTTGACAGTTGGCAAGACTGGGAGGGCCGTGTCGCGCGAAGCCTCAACCGAGGATCTCGCTTTCTCTTCTGAAGACATGGTTGCGTGTAGTGACTAACGAGGGACGATGAAGTGTTTGCAATGGAGACTGGCTGGCGGGAATCAAAGGAGAGGTTCAGCTGTAGAGTTTCCTTGGTGCTGCAGTGGCAGTAAGCTAGCGCGGCTGACTGATCGTGATGATGTCGTTTCGCAAGGGCCAGGCCGCTGGAACACTAAGTGGCACAAGCAGCACAACAGATGACAGTGAGCTTGTCAGGGCAAAGGCAAAGAGGAGGTAAAGAACGGCAGAAGAGTTGGGAGAAGGGTTCAGTAAATGTTCAGGCAATGTCTATGCGCTAGGAGGAAGGGAGGGGCGGAGCGGAAATCAGCCAGACGACCTTCTAGAGCGTGGCACAGGGGTTCTGAATTAGGCGTGCTATTACCGGGCAATGAGCGACTATGTACTAGAGCTCATCTGAGGCAAGATGAGGATAGACCAGGAGCGGCGCGGGATTTGGTAACCATCTAAGTAGGTGAAACGGATCTGCTGTGGAGCCTCAACATGGACGCGCAATCACTATAGTGTTGTGTGCAAAGCGGAAATTTTGAGCCGCCATGGAGCATCGAGCAGTTGCGCGCCATCGGAGGCGTACGCGTACCAAGGCCCTGCACCAGCGGCCAAAGACACCGGTCCCACCCGTAATAGTCATGACACCTTGTTGCAAGTGCAGAAAACAGATAATGCGCCTAATTTTTTTTCCCGCTGCCGTATCGTTGCAGGGAAGGACAGAGCCTCGCACCCTGGCAGTGCTGAGGTTGCAGTATGAGGCGCACAATAAGGGGCAATGCATTCGCATACAGGGTCCACGGATGGATTGATTGCAATGGCTTCATGTTGCATGTTACAAGGTGGCACTAGTACCAAGTAGCATGCCACCAGGTCGATGCGTCGTTGATCTGACGCTGTTCTGTGTAGTCCCGCAGAGATAGAGTCGGTCAAGCTTCACCCTGTGCTCAACGCGCCTGGCTTGATGCTCCAGCTCCACACTCGAGCCTAGGCGAACGTGCATGAACAACGGCGCACGCAGCTCTCAGCAATGGTCATGGCAACAATCAGCTGGCAGCCTCAAAAGGGAGAGGCAAGTAGTGCACGTCTGCACGATACTGCAACTTGCGGCCAATCAACCGGCCACGAGCAAGTCCACATGTAGCGCCCGCGGCCTGCCCCTTTTCCGCCTGGCCTTATGCCTGTCGCCCTGTCGCTGTCGCTGTCTCCATGTCGCTATCACACCCGTCCAACTTGCCTGTGCGAGTGAGTTGCCCCAGTCATCCACAGTACCCTGGACCCGCTTAAATCAACCATCGCCCTTGGCGGGCTTAGTTTATCGCCAGCTATATTCCTCAACCACGCCCCAACCGTCGTTTGGTCTAAACTCCACGTCTTTCCTTCTTCTTCAAACTCGAGCTACGAGTATATGCTTAATTTCGCCCGCCAAACACTGAAGAAAGTTCCCAGTTTTCAGGAACTGTTGCAGGGCACCATGGGTTCTGCCAAAGAAGAAATGTATACTCACCGCCTGCCCGCATTGCCATATCAAAACTAACAACGCCGCAGTTCTGTTGATGTTCTCGTCATCGGCGCAGGGCCGACGGGTCTTGGAGCTGCCAAACGTCTGAACCAGATTGTATGACACCTGTCGTATAACGTGGCAAGCACTTGCTAACACTGACAGGATGGCCCGTCATGGATGATTGTCGACTCCAATGAGACGCCAGGTGGTCTTGCCTCGACAGACGTAACCCCCGAGGGCTTCGTGAGTGCTCCTGCCGCCAATTGACACATTTGTTCCCATCTAACCACCCCCCAGCTCTACGACGTTGGTGGCCATGTCATCTTCTCCCACTACAAATACTTCGACGACTGCATCGACGAGGCTCTCCCCAACGAAGACGACTGGTTCACCCACCAGCGTATCTCATACGTCCGCTGCAAGCGCCAATGGGTCCCCTACCCCTTCCAGAACAACCTGTCCATGTTGGGCAAGGACGACCAAGCCAAGTGCATGGAGGGCTTGATTGACGCTGCCCTCGAGTCCCGCGTGGCAAACACCAAGCCCAAGGACTTTGACGAGTGGATTGTGCGTCAGTTGGGTGTTGGCATTGCCGACCTCTTCATGAGGCCATACAACTTCAAGGTCTGGGCTGTGCCTACAACCAAGATGCAGTGTGAGTGGCTCGGCGAGCGTGTCGCTGCCCCGAACGTCAAGGGTGTCATGCACAACATCATCCACAACAAGGTTGCAGGAAACTGGGGCCCCAACGCCACCTTCCGCTTCCCCGCAAAGGATGGTACCGGCGGTATCTGGATTGCCGTCGCAAAGACGCTCCCAGAGTCCAAGACACGATACGGCGAGCACGCCAAGGTGACCAAGGTCGATGCCGATGGCCACAAGGTACACCTCAAGGACGGCACCGTCGTCAACTACAAGAAGCTCATCAACACCATGGCTGTTGATGCTCTCGTTGAGACCATGGGCGACAAGGAGCTCATCGACCTCAGCAAGGGTCTCTTCTACTCCACCACCCACGTCATCGGTGTAGGTCTCCGTGGCGAGCGACCAGAGCGCATTGGTGACAAGTGCTGGCTCTACTTCCCCGAGGACGACTGCCCCTTCTACCGTGCCACCATCTTCTCCAACTACTCGCCATACAACCAGCCGCAAAAGGACATCAAGCTTCCTACCCAGCAGCTCGCTGACGGCTCCAAGCCCAGCTCCACCGAGCCCCAAGAAGGCCCATACTGGTCCATCATGTTGGAAGTTTCCGAATCCAGCATGAAGCCAGTGGACGAGAAGAACATGCTCAGGGACTGCATCCAGGGTCTCATCAACACTGAGATGATCAAGCCCGACGACGAAATTGTCTCCACCTACCACCGCCGCTTCGACCACGGATACCCCACCCCCTCTCTTGAGCGTGAGGGCGTCCTCAAGCAGCTCCTCCCCGCTCTCCAAGCCAAGGACATCCTATCCCGTGGCCGTTTCGGCTCATGGAGATACGAGGTCGGCAACCAGGACCACTCATTCATGTTGGGTGTAGAAGCCGTCGACCACGTCGTCAACGGCGCCGTTGAGCTCACGCTCAACCACCCCGACTTTGTCAACGGCCGCAAGAACGAGGAGCGCCGCCTCGTGGACGGAGCTCAAATCTTTGCTAAGCCCTCTCTTGCACTCCGTAACAAGGGTGTTGACTAGATGTGCACTTTATAGAAGGCCGCATGTTGCGCAAAAATGTAATGTTTACAGGATACCACGCTATATATAGTTACCGATACAGCCACTAGATAGACTAGAAGTCGACGTCTTTGTTTGTAGAGTGAGGTAGAGAAACGTTGATGTGATGTTTTCATCTTGTTGTTTTTCTTGCCATCTTGATTGACGCGTACACAGCAGCAAAGTTTTCCTCCAGCAGTACATTGCGCGTTGCGCGTTACACGTGTTGATCACCCAGTCAGTTAGTAACATTAATCATCCAGCAGGCAATACCATGATGAGCGAACACCGCTGATCACCAATATCGTTGATTATCGGGGAAGTAGAATGTCACTCGGCTTCTTCTTCCCCCGACAACGCCTTACAACATGACTCAATCCCACCCCATCCAATACAAATCAACCCAACATTTTTTTTTCTCTTCTATCAAATGACTCGATACCAACAAGACTGATAGGCTAACAAACTACCAAAATCTTGCCGCTATGTTGGTGATCTTCATCTCCTGCTTATCTTTGCCAAAATACCGGTTACATACCCTACCGACTTTAACCGTAGACCGTAAGTAGACGGTGAATTCAGTGTCGTTTACCAACATCAAGGTTAGGCTATGGGTATGGGTACGTACGCTACGTATTTTCTCCGAAGAAAACCCACTTTTTGTTTGGGTTGTTTTGTTTATAAAAGGGCCGAATGGTTTAGAAGGGCTAGGATTGCGCGTGGTTCGAAAGATTGCGCGCAAGGTGAGGTTGGAGCCGCGACATGGTGAGTGGTGTGTTCAGGTGTGCCGATTAAGAGGATCGGGGTTTGCTGGGAGATTGGGGAGAGTAGGTGGGGCGAGATTAGTATGCAGTATGTATAATTGAGTTGGGTAGGCGGGTAGAAGTGTGGAGAGAAATGGTGTAGATAAGGTAAGGTATGTGATATGATGTTGATTGCATTGCGTTGCCTTGTGGAAGGGGAGGTAAGATGAAAGCAAGAAAAAAAAAGAAAGTATACTGGTTTCAAGATGCTGTCAGCCAAGATGGACCATTCATTTCATAAAGCTATATCGCTATTTCCACCATCCCGCTGTCGTCATCTATCTCTCAGCCTCATTTCCCCTGCGTGCATCCATGAACCCCCACCACACTCACTCACACACACATTTGCCATCACTCCTCCTCCCCAACGCTCATCCTCTCATGCTTCCACGCCTTCCCTCCCGCCCCATACTCAGCACTAATCTGCGCATCACCCACAAGCACCCATTTATAAATCGTCAGCCCATCCAAGCCCACCGGCCCCCTTGAATGAATTTTATTTGTAGAAATGCCGACTTCAGTACCAAACCCATAGCGTTGGCCATCCGCCATACGGGTACTAGTATTCCAATACACGGAGCTGGAATCCACAGCCGCGAGAAAGGTTCTAGCTACCGGCTCTGACGAGGTGAGAATGGCGTCGGTGTGGTGAGAACCATGTGTGTTGATATGTGCGATTGCTTCGTCGACGTTTGCCACGGATTTCAGCGCGAGGATATTATCTAAGAACTCTGTGTTGAAATCCTCTGGGCTAGCGGGCTGGAGGAGCGCGGCGGCGTGTTCGTCTAGTTTACCTTTTAGGGCGAGGAGCGTGGTGGAGTCGCAGCGGAGTGAGACACCTTTCTGCAGCAGGGCCTCTGCGATGGGGGGAAGTGAGGTGCTGAGGGCGGCTTCTTCGACGAGGAGTTGTTCGAGGGCGTTACATCCGGCGGGATAGCTTATTTTGGCGTCCATGATTATCTTTGTGGCTTTTGCCACGGGGTAGTCGGCGCAGAGGTATGTGCTGCATATTCCGTCGGCGTGGCCTAGCACCGGGATTGTCGTGTTGTCTTTTACGTAGCGGACTAGTTTGTTGCCGCCGCGCGGGATGCAGAGGTCGATGTACGTGTCTTGTTTGAGGAGGTCGGCTATGGCGTCGTGGGTTTGGACTAGTTGGAGACATTCTGGGGGGACGGCCGTGGTGTAGAGTGCTGATGAGATGATTTGCGATATTGCGCTGAAGCTTCTGCTGGATTCACGGCCGCCTTTGAGGATGGCGGCGTTGCCGGATTTGAGGGCTAATGCGGAGATGTTGGCAATGACTTCTGGTCGGGCTTCGAAGATTACGAGGAGTACGCCGATGGGGCACGTGACTCGTGATAGGATGAGGTCGTCGTCGAGAAGTGTCTTTGCTGTCGTCTTGTTGATTGGGTCTTCTAGATCGCGTACATCCAGTATGCCTTGTAGCATATCCTCGTATTTTCCCGGCTTCGATAGATCCAGTCTCTTGACTAAACTTGCACTTAGAGTACCTCCCGCAGCGGCCTTGTTCGCAGCCTCGAGGTCCTGTGCATTGGCCTCTAGAACTATATTCTTGCCATCCAGTAGCCCATCGTGAATAGCCGTGAGTGCAGCATTCCTCTCCTCCGTCGACAGCACGGCCAGTTTCCTTGATCCGAACTTGGCAGCCTGAGCGATCTGCAACGGCTTGGCGTTTGTAAAGGCCATTTTTCTGAATACGGACTCAGATGGTGGTTGGGATGTAACGTCGATAATTTCTGACGCAGAGTGCGTGACTCAGCGCCGCTCAATGGGGGCAAATGTCTCTTTTGCCGGAAGGATTGGGGTATGCAAGGCTTGCCTACTGCTGCAGGTACTATTGGCGATTAGGTGGATCGTATGCAGTCAGGTGAAGTGTCTAAAGATAGGTTTACATGGGAGTGTGGTGGGATGTTTTAGTGGTGTTGCGGGGTCTCCGATGTACGGCGCCACGGCTGTGGCGTTGCAAGAACGCTGCGTCTGAGCTCTCGTATGCAGAGCGCAATCCAAGAATTGCTGGAATCTAGATTAATGAAGAGACTTTTCGATAGGCATCGTATCGATGAGAGTTTCTATTGATTTTTTGATCCTGCTCCTACGAAATGATGCAGATCTCGACCTTTCTATGTACATTATGGGTTATCGTATCTAAGACATCAACACTAGTTAGTCTCGGAGCAGCATCGAGTCTTGCACCCTTGGTTCCATTCAGAGGTAGCATCCAGGTCTCGTATGCTCCTGGTAGCCAAGCTCGAATCTTTGCACATCAAGTTGATGAAGGCATATCCAGAAACCCCATCAAAAGTTGGGGCTGGATCCGCTCCAGTAGTCTCCACCCAGCACATGCCTAGGTAGACTTGGCTAGCCCGCTTGGCTGCATGTCCTTTTACTTTTCCTCTCGACTACCAACGTTTTCAAATACCAAGAGACGACACCCAACATCGACTTGCTCCAGATGCTATCGAAATAGCGGTCTGCGAGCCAGATACGGAAGTAAGAATGTTAGACTCGGCACTCAATCCAGCCACCTATAGTGTATCTTCAATTGTGGCACATCTTCGATTGCCGAATTAACACGAGTGCCCTCGTGTTGCGCTTCTTGGAACACTCGTACCTTGGTATATACACTTTCGGCAACACAATATACGAGAATGAGGCATTCTTGCTAGGCGGTGGCCGGTATTGCGTTACCAAGACTGAGTACAGCCGCAAAAGCGCATCGGCCCCGAAGCGGATACCTCGGGCATGTCACCGCTCTGTCCAACGATGTTATTTCCACGGCAAGAAAGCCGCCGGAATCATCGCATCCCGTTTATCGAAAGCTGAGATCGTGTTCAGACATGGTTGCTACGTCACATTTCACCATTATCCGCGGCACCAGTCCAATGGTGGTGAGATCTCGAACGTCGATAAATCTTTGCTGACGCGCGTGCATGGTATGCAGGGTCTCGCCGCTGCAGATGATATTGGCGATCTCCGCAGATGCCGCGCAGTTTCCAAAGATAGACGGTAGAAGGCGGTTTGCAGGATTGCAGGATGAAAGTAGTAGGTAATGGTGTTGCGGGGTGGTATTCTGAGCTCACACCACAACATGGCACCTACAACCTTCTCAACACAAGTAGAAACTTCAAAGGCTCACCGCAAAATGGCCTACGCAGAGTCGTAATTGCGTCATAGGCGGCCAAGGATTATTTCCTTCAAGCCCAGACGCGATCGTTGGCAGTTGCGTATGTTGGAGGGCTAGCAGGGGCGTTTGGTGTGGCTGGGATCTTCTACCAACCACCTGCTATCGTCGCCTTGCCAACCTCGTCCAATTTCACCCACTCCCGCATCGCAACAGGCCCTGCCACACTACTCTAGCTTGATTTGACAGCTCATCGCGTAGGTCATTGCGCAAAGATGGCTGGTCTATACAAAAACCACGCTGCAGCTACTGCACATGTCACCATTACACCCGCCTTTCCATCCTCTACCGCTCAAGTGCTGAGCAGGTACCCAACCACACACATTTGCTGCGCGATACTCACACGTGCCATTGTTTGCTAGTATCCGTTTCATACTATAGCATTCTTCCACAGACTGCGCTACCGTCATCGCTACCAAGATGCGCTCCGCTGTACGAGCTCTCGCCGCTTTGGCCTCGGCCGCCCTCATTGTTCCCTCTGCAGCACAGACATGGTCCAACTGCAACCCGACATTACGAACAGACTGCCCGCCCGATTCCGCACTGGGCAAGACGGTCAACATCGACTTCTCGTCTGCGTCGGACAGTTTCACGGCTCAAGGCAACCCTACCTATGGAAAGGATGGCGTCTCTTTCACAGTGACCAAGTCGGGAGAGGCACCCACACTTACTTCAAAGTGGTACATAATGTTTGGAAAAGCCGAAATCGTCACGCAAGCAGCCCCCGGTGCTGGTATTGTCAGCAGCTTTGTATTGCAATCCGATACTCTGGATGAGATTGATTGGGAGTGGCTCGGCGCAGACCCCGATGAGGTGCAAACTAATTATTTCGGTATGTCCTGAATTCAGATATGGAATGAGTAATACTAACTGCAGTACAGGAAAGGGGCAAACGACCAGCTACAACCGCGGCGCTTTTCACGCCGACCCAGGCAGCCAGACGAGCTTCAAAACATACACCATCGAATGGACCCCGGAGCAGATTGTATGGCAGATCAACGGCGTCACTGTGCGCACTCTGGAACCCGCAGGCGCAGAGAACCAGTACCCTCAGACACCTATGCAGATCAAGTTCGGCGCATGGAGTGGAGGTGATTCAGCGAATCCTGCGGGTACTATATCATGGGCTCGTGGTCCCACGGATTACTCAAAGGGCCCCTTCACTATGAAGGTCAAGTCGCTCAAGGTACAGGATTACTCGACTGGCACACAGTATGTCTACGGCGACCAATCCGGTACCTGGAAGTCTATCAAATCAGTTGGAGGCACAATCTACTCCGGTGGCAACAAGCCCATCGCCGACGCTCCAGCCGTCACAGCTACCGCCAGCGGACAGCCACTGCCCTTTAGCCCACACCAAACCTCCGACTACATGCGCCCCAGCGTCTACCCCTGGATCCCCGACCCGTCGGCTACCCCCACTGCGCAACCTACATTTGCAAACTACCCCGGGCTACCGAGCGGGTGGACAGTTTCCGATACTGGAAAAGTGATCCCACCCAGCTCAGCCACTGTCAGTAAGCCATTTGTTTGCCCCCAAACCCTCCTATCTCCAAAAGAGCAATCATACTAACGATACTTCCGCGCAGATGTCCCCTCAAGGTTCCTCTATCTCATCGCCGCAAGCTTCACCTACGGCCTCGTCTGCCTATGGATATGACCTCTCCACCGGCTACGACAACCACGGTTCCACGCCTCCTCTCCCCACCGCAACATCTCCCTCGGGTCTCCAAAACGCCGCCGCCGCCAGCGCCATCCCCGCAGCCCCCGAACACAGCGCAGGTTGGAAACTCCGCCTCTCCATCATACTCCCCTGGACCATACTCGCCCTCCACCTCCCCAGCTGCCTCGGCTACTAGGACGGCTGGGGCAACCTCATACACCAATACCGCACCGGCGAGTTTTTCCAGCTCACCGGCGCGGCAATGTTTAAATTCTGCATCTTGCTGGGTAGTGCGATATTGGCCCTTTTTACGAATAATTATATCGGATATGCGTTTTCGCTCAAGTTGTGGTTGGCGCCGTGGCCGCATCTTACGTGGAAGTTTGGCTGGAATCGCAAGTGTTGCAAGGACCATGCTTGTGAGGAGAAGAAGAAGATGTATATATTGCTTTGGAGGGGGATTAGGGGGATTTTAGGTGGGCTTGGGTTTTTCTGATATGTTTTTTGTTGCATAGCGTGGCGTTTTTGGGTGGTATTAATTGCGTTTTAGAATTGGAAGAGTGAGTCTGCGATATGATGAGGAAGAAAGCGGTTTGAATTAGCTTAGCTTAATGATGGATGGATGGATGGATAGTGATGATTGATGGAGACATTGATTGGTATTAGTAATGACAGAATGGATTACTTGAGTGGAATACTCAATCCGACATTTTTGTGCAGAAGATTGCTTGAGCTTGGTTGTGTAAATCGCTTCGCTATGTGACACTTCACCCTCACTCTCTCCTTGTGCAAATGTGCGTGGGGAGAGTAATCTGCGTGAGATGTACTTGATATACATGAGCAAACCTAGTCTGTTGGATGGAGGGGATTATATGGAGATTCTACAGAGATGTTTACTGTATTGTTGTACAGCTTTCGTTGTGTATTGAAAAGCTATCTCATGCTGTAGCTCATCTTCAATCCTGATGCGCTCTCATCACGCGTCTACACTTTTACTTTGTTCTACCGCCTTCTCTTTTGTCTATTTTAAGACAAAATTCGGGTAGATAGTCGTGGATATAAGATACAGCCTTTATATCTTAACCCAGCCCCCATCAAACCAGCTCAACGGGTCGAAACTTGCCCTGCCATCTCTCATCAGGCTTGCTTTTGTCAATCAAAGCCGGACCAACTACTTCGAATTCGGCCGTCTGGTCTTGTCTATGTAGGATCAGAGGTACCGGTACGCCTGACACCTCTGAGCAATATCATGATACAGATCCAATAAAGGTGATCCAAGAATTGATGCGAACTGTGCTCTTGCCGATACTGTTGGCGAGTATGCGAAGCAACATTTTTCCAAATTGTGATAGGCGATATGAGTCAATGGAGATGCGCACTAGGTAGAGATGTGGTAACTAGCACTTGGGTCATATTCGGCACATATGTCGCACCATGGCACAGAATCGCTTTTCGTGAACAACACCGCACATGGAGCTAATATAAGCTCTTGAAAACTTATGGATCGTCATGATCAGCCCGAAGCAGTTATGAAGCTCGACGGAAATGCTTACGTCCAACCACGACGAAACTACTGGTCATCGAGAACTCGCGACAAGCATGTCAACCGATACCGTCAGCCTTACTTATCCCCAACCCTCACCTTACAGCCACGCGCCATGATATGCCAGAATCTCAGTGCAAAAGCCATCGGCAAACAAAGCAAGTAAAGGAAAGACGTAGCGCAAGAAGTAAGAGCCTTATCAAACACTGACGTCACGCACACCAACACAGCAACCTCGTGATCACAACCCACACCTCACCCACAACACGCAAGAACGACCCACCACCAAGCACCACCACACACCTTGCATTTCTCAAAAATCAGCCCCAAAACGAACTTTTTATTTTGTCTTCTTCTTCTTCATAGAAAAGGTAAGTAGTGTACACATGAACTGAACCTGCAAAAAACTCCCATCCCAACCTTCTGAATGGCACTTGAAATACCAGTCCTAAACGACAAGAACAAATAAACACCCTAATGCCCAGAAAATGAAACCTCTTGGGAAAAAGGTTCTCGTTCCAGCTAAGATATCCACATCGACAATTCCATCTACCCTCTCTGTCTCTCTGGTTTCGTGATTAAATGACGTGTCTGCGAAGGGGAGACTGCTGTACACCACCACCGCAGCTGCTGTCCCTTCTCCATATTTCGACTAGATACTCAACCACCGCGACCTCCATAGGGTTGGTGTCTGAAGCCGCCGCCACCGCGGTGACCTCCACCACGGTAGTTGGCACCCCTAACACCCGCGTTCTTAGGACCGGTAGGCGCGTTGATAGGAGCCTGACCACCACCAGCAGGCGGCTGGCTGGAGCCCTGACGAGAACGGTTGTTCCTAAAGCCGCCGCGACCGGGGCCACCGGGGCCAGAGGGTGGTGGGGGAGCATCGTCGTACATGCCATCCCAGCTCTGAGGGCCACCCTGGGCGTTGGCGTAGCCAGCGGGACCAGAGAGCTGTTGCTGGCGACGAGCTTGCTGTTGTTCGTACTTTTGCTGTTCGAAAGCGAGTTGGTCTTGCGGGTTGTAAGCGGGACGCTGTCCGGGATTTTGTCCTCCTTGTGGGCTCATCATACCTGGTCCGCCGGGTCCTCCTGGGCCACCGCCGCCTTGCATCTGCGCCATTTGCATCTGCTGCATCTGCTGCATTTGCATCGGGTTCATACTGCCTGGGCCACCCATCATCTGGGGGTTGGGAGATCCGGTGCCGCGGTTCATGCCTTGGCCCATCATCTGTTGTTGCATCTGCTGCATTTGCATTGGGTTCATGCCACCCATGGCAGCCATGGGGTTGCCAGCCATACCGCCGCCTGCCTGCTGCTGAGCGAGTGTTTGCTGCATAGATTGGAAGTACTGTTGCATGCGCTGCCAATACTGTGCCATCATGGCGGGAGACATGGCGCTGTTTCCACCTTGGGCTTGCATGTTACCGCCGCTGTTATCATAGCCTCCGCCACCGTGATTACCATTTCCGCCGTCGTTGAACTTGTTGAATTTGTTGTTACGACCAAACTTCTTGCCGCCATCGCCTCCTTCTTCATCGCGCATGTTGCCACGGGGCTGGGCGCGCTTGACCTCAATCTGCTTGCCGAGAATCTGGAGCGGTTCGCGTAGGGTGGCATCTACGGCAGCATCGCCGTCGAAAGTAACGAAACCGAAACCACGAGGTCGACCAGTCTCCTTATCCATCATGAGTGTAGCATCGACGACGCGACCGAACTGCTTGAAGAAGTTTGTGAAGTCTTCCTCGGTTGCTTCTTGGCTGACACCACCGACGAAGATCTTGCTGGTCCGCTCTTGCTCCTCACGAGGAATAGCACGCTTGGGATCGATCTCGTTGGCATTAGCGGGTAGCTTGGTAATGGTACTGGGTTTACATACGATCTTCCCATCAAGGTAATGCTCCTTAACCATGACAATGTTAACGCACTTGGGGTCTTTGAAGGTAAGGAAACCGAAGCCTCGCGATCGTCCGGTAGCAGAGTCACGCATAACGGTGCACTCGCTGACTTCGCCGAACTGTGAGAAATAGTTTTTTAGAGATTCTGTGTGTCGTTGGTCAGCCAAAGTTGACGTCCGAGAAGGTCAGGAGAGGGTCGGAGACTAGGTAGATGTACCTTCCGTGGTCTCCCAGTTAAGTCCACCTATAAACATCTTGCTATGGTCACAGTCAGCAATCACGTGTTGAGAGATCTCAGTAAAGCAAAGTTTTGTGGGAGATGAGGCGCATCATAGGGAATCCGGTCCTCCTAGGGGTAGGCCATGTCGATCCAAAACATTCAATAAACGTCGTTTGAAAACTCCATCAAGACCGGTGACGAAGTGAACATTGGCAGATACAGCGTATGTACGTTCAGCTCCCTAATTGTTGAGCAGAGACTGGGCCAAGCCATGGATAGCAAATTAAATAGAAGGCGATCGTCGTGAGTGGTGTGTGCGCGTTTCTCATAGGTTCCAGATTCATGTGATTATTGCCATTGTCGAGTCGGTGGTTATGGAAGGTCGTGATGTCGAGGATTTTTCGTGTGCAACTGCAACTGATGATACAGAATTTGAAGGCGATATTGTAGCTGGATATGGATCGCCCCGATGATGCAGATGTGTAGACGCTACTAGGATTCGCTGTCGTCTAACACCGTGGTAATGATGACTGTATGCAGATGGGTGGGTGGCTAAGCGAAGCCATTGTCTGTGCCGCATCCAAGTTGGAAATTGTCGTACTCATGGTATGCACCGTTTATGCGAACCAGGGAAGCCGCCCCACGCACTCTCAAGTCCATGTTTCGAGGTACAAAAATAGCCCTTGCAAAGGCACAGTTTGATTCGGATGAAACGTCTGTGTTTTGCTATGGAGTCGAGTGCGGATGTCTAGAAAGACTTTCTCACAACTCGGTAGCTATCCTCTGCTTGCGTTGCTGGTACGCGCTATCAAGTACCTAGGTATATATCGACAAGAGGCGCTGCCAAATTTCGGGCAAGCCGCGATAGTCCCTGCGAGAGACGCGTTGATGGTTGATCTGAGTATCCGCATAGCCATTGACCCGCGTCTTTGTAGCTTCTTCCAACAATCAAATCGGTGGCCTTATCCGCCATGCTCTGACCGCCTCGCCGCACGGGCGACATAGACTGCAATTCTTTGCAACTTGTTTCGCAAGCTGTCTAGCTCCTATGCCTTTATACCAGACTCTGCGTCATCCATGACACCAGGCGCTCTTGAATGGAAGACGCGCACTGCAAAGCCTGGAGCTTGTTCTATGACCGACATACTCCCAGGTCCCTGACGTCGCCCGAGCTCAAACATATTGTCGCACACGGTCGATTATGATAGCAATCCAGTCTATGGTTCGAAATGATATACGTGACATGCTGGTGATGTGTCCTTTTACCTTGTGATGCGCCTCTGAGAATGAAAACGAAAGTTAGCCATGCGATGCGCAACTTACCCGTCTTCTTTCACGTTGATAGGCCCATAGTTGTCATCTTCCATGGGCGCATTCTCGTAAGACTGAACAGCTCCCGTGTTGAAGTTGGACTGCTCCATCTGTGTATCCTGATTTGGCGCGTCTTGAGCTGGCCAGGAGGGTGCAGCATCTTCACCGTTGTTCTGTGTCGAGTCCTGGGGCGGCGCGTTCGTGGGCTCGGCCGCAGCGGGCTCTGGCTCGGTCTTGATCGGAGGTGTGGCTGCTGCAGACTTGGACGCAGGCTCATCATCGTAGCTGTTCAAGTCTGTTAGTTGTGTCGCACGACCAGTTGGCTCAGAGTTTGGTACCCACAGATCGTCAAAGATGTCGTCTTCGTAGTTCTCGTCGGCCATGATGGAAGGTTGAAAAGATGAAAATTTGATCAAAAAGGAGTGCTACC